GAGTGTCCAACTGAGCCAGTACAAAAAACCTTTTGTGTTAGCAATCCTACCTTCGTCTGGGATGTGAAAGGAGGAAGAGGAACAAGAAGTCTTGTCGGTCTATGCGTGTGTGTGTACACAGAAGAGGACGAGAAAACGACTGCCAGGAGAGATCGAGCACAGTTGTTCTCGGACGGACGGACGGTCGGAGGGAATCGATGAGAAAGAGTCCACGAGAGAGGGAGGGAAAAGAATAGACCAAGCTCAGCTGAGCGCAGCAGAATGAGAGAATCCCGGACCAGCGTAGCGGCTGCTTCTGTCTCTTCCTCATTCCCTCGTTTTCCGTGAAGTGCGGCTCCATGCAGCCCGGCCAGGAGAGGAGGAGGAGGTGGTGAACAGGGCTTCTTCAGCCACGGACCTGCCGGGGGAGGGAGGGAGAGAGGGAAAGTGAGCGAGCGAGAGAGAGAGAAGGGAGGAGGGAGTGAGCGAGCGAGAGAGAGGGAGAAAAAAACCGGCGAAAGGGCAAGGCTTTTGTTGGCGGTTGGAGAGAGGGAAGAGGGGGGGAAAGAAGAAAAGAAAAAACATGTCTACGGTGAACAGGCCGAGAGGACGGGTGAGTGAGTGAGTGAGTGAGCGAGCATGTGTGTTTGTGTGTGGGGGGTGGAGAGAGGTGGAGGAGGAGGAGGAGGAGGGAAGGGTGGGGGAGGGGGCCGGCAGGAACTGAACAGCTACAGACTCATGCGGCAGGCTACACAATCGCCGCCATCTTGTGCTAACTGCTTCTCTCCATTACTTATTCTTTCGCTTGTGTGCTACCAGGGAATGCTGTGTTATCTAGCTATTGACTCCGTGTACTCTGGCTCTGTCGGTTCTTCCTGTTTCGTTGCTTTCATTCACCGAGGCGCAGAAGGATGTGCCACATGTGTGCAGCAGGCATTGTGTGGTAGTGCCGCGTCCACGTTTCTGCTTCAACATAATTTCATTCTAAACGGAGACGGTGATGACCTGAGCGTGGAGAGGGATTGAAATCGCTGCGGTGCTGGCAGCCTGTAATTTCAGTTATTTATAGATGTGTTACATAGCTGCAGTGCTCACGGCTTGCTGCATTTTCCCCTCTCTCTCTCTCTCTCTCTCTCTCTCTCTTTCTCTTTCTCTCTCACGTCATATTCTCTCTATTACTCATTTTCTCACATATGCTCTCCCGCCTTCCCCCTATAGCTTTTCTCCATTTCTCCATTCTTGCTGATTTACCCCTTCATGCCTCGAATGGATTAGTGTGAATATTTCACGAGAGCTCGCTCTGCTCTCCGGCTCATGTTTAGCCACCAAATGAGTTAGTGTTTATAACCCACCCCCACTCTCTTTTCTTTTGTTTCACTCTTTCCAGATAATTCCCTTTATTTAGCCGTCAGGAAAGCGCAGGCTGGGTGATCCGATTTTATGTCTGTCTCTTTTTTGAGTCAACAAAGCTTTATTGGCATGACTGGAACATTGCTCTGGCCATGTGTCATATTTATAAAGAGCGAGCGTGCAAAGTAAAACCTAATAAAGTAAAAGATAAGATCTTTCTCCTTCTTTTCAAACTCACTTTAGCTGCTTTCCGAGTGAGAAAGAGAGCAAGAAATGGATGAAAAAGGGAGATTGGTTGTCAGCGAAACAGGCGTGAATAATAAAAGTTGGCATGTCTTGGCCTGCTATATGATCGTGCTGTGAATTATACATGGCTGTCTTTTTATTTCATTGGGTGAGGAGTGGATAATGTGAATAGATGGGCTCTCGGGTTGAAGATTTTGTCTCTTGACCTTTGATCAGTGTGTGATGTCATTCTGATGAACTGTGACTTATTAACACCCCTATAACTTATGTTTACTAATGATATCTCTGATGTTTAGAGGATTAAACCAGTAATACAATGGTGAATATATATGTGTGTGCAGCCCCAGTGGTGTGCTGTGTTTGCCTGTGCAGTCAGCCAAACCATTCCTTTATCTTCCCCTATAGCTGGTTGGCCACGTGAATGGATAGCAGTGAATATTATGAAACCCAGGCATTAGGAACATTGATGATGCAGCAGTTCAAAGATGAAAGATTTCCCATGTTGTCATCCAGTATGTGTGGGTGGACTCAGGCATACCATGCTGCACTGCTTGAGTAACAATCAGATGAGATTGATCTCCGAGGATTTGTATCTTGGACCTCCTCTTACGTTTAGTCTGCTGGCGAGGTCATGAAGTAACTAGTGTGCTTATTAAATTCTCAACAAGTATTGAGCTGGGTAAAGAATGGCCCCAAACACTTGAACGGTATTTGAGTTTATGTAAGCACAAGTGTCTCTAAAACCTGACAGGCTTCATTAAAATAGGTGTCGTGAGAAATCACACCTGTCTCAGTATCCACCCTAGACTCTGTAACTGCAAAAAAGAATCAGGGGAGTAAGATGTTTAAGCCAATCAGTAAGCTAGCCAATTAGAAATGTTCTTTGCCTGTCAACAAAGTATGTAATTAATTTTTTGCCCACCGGGCAAAATGGTTGGCAAAATTCCCAATTTAACCTGCCACTCAGATTTTTTCCCCATTTCAAATATATGATGTAACTGACTGTGATTTAGGGGGAAAAAATGCACAAAGACCAATTTAAGTGGAGCCAAAAAGCATTTCTTTTTGCACTAACACAATCTCTGGTCTCTTTTGTTCCACTTTAATTAAAATCAGCATGAAAGGAAAATGTATTTTCTGAATGAACGTAGTGATCTTATATTAACCATTCATCCATGCATAAATTGTTTTTTATTTTTATATAACTGGATCTTCCGGTGAAAAGACAGACTTCTCCCTGTTGATGCATGATGGACTTCTCTGACCATTTAGTCCACCTAAATGGACTTCCTTTTCTTAAAATCGATTGCAAGCTTTCCTGCATTCAATCATCAAAACCAATGAATAAAACCAAGTCCTCACTTTGTTTTTTTTAATGATAATTCATTTCACTTGGATGTGCCTCACAAAACAGAACAAAATATGAACAATCTGCATGTATCAGTCTCTACACATTACATTATGAATTTAACGTTAACTTTCCATTTACACTGTTGTCTTACACTTTTTTTTTTTAAAGGATTAGTTCACCCAAAAAATGTAAATTAGTAGTGATAACCACGTGATCCGTGACGTCCGAAGCTTCATTTTTGCACACAACCACACGACTGTTTCGTATTCTGATTCAAATAACACGAAACACTTGCGCAGTTTCAAGTGTCACTCACTTCTTTGGTAAGAATAAATCATAAAACGAATAAATATTTGCACGTGTAGTTTTGTGCATGTTCATTTTGTATTAATTCCCGCTTCACAAGCACTTCAGCTGACCATTCTATGATCTTTTATTTTGATCATATGCATATACTGTATCCTTGCCTATTTTTTACACAAATTTATTCACAGACTCTTTTATTCCTATATTGTATAAAACAATGACTGACATGTAAAATACATTTATATGGACGTAATGCTTTCTTTGCTTTGTACAAGTTTTCATAGCACAAACTGATTTATTATCTGAAACTGTTCAAAAATGGCTGGGTTGTCGGGGACGCAAAGGCAGCTTTTTCCACCTTTTGACCACAAGATGTCGTTAGTGTGCACCGTTTTGAAAAGCTTCGAGTAATGAACCTTTTTGCGATACAGTTGAGGGGAAAACCTCGGTGCTTCATTTTTCCATCACTAAAAATGTGCCTGTTATTTACTCACCCTCAAGCCATCCTAGGTGAATATGACTTCTTTCAGACGAATCCAATCGGAGTTATATTAAAAATTGTCCTGGCACTTCTAAGCTCTATCATTGCAGTGGGCAGGTGTTTCTGTTCAACAGTCCAAAACACGTTAAATAAAGTGCGCGCATCCATAATAAAACATGCCTCACACGGCTCCGGGGGGTGAATAAAGGCCTCCTGTAGAACTATAGCAAACTATAGCAAAATGAGAACTACCACATTTTGCTATAAGTTTCGCCATTCGCCAGAAGAGCTTCTGCGTACGACAATCAGCAGAAGTGAGAGAAAAGTGTTTATTACGTTTGAAATATGTATATTTTTCTTACAAAAACACATGGAATCGCTACAGGAGGCCTTTATTCACACCCCAGAGCCGTGTGAGGCATGTTTTATTATGGATGCGCACACTTTATTTAAAGTGTTTTGGACTGTTAAATAGAAACACTCACCCACTACAATAATAACGCTTGGAATAACCAGGACAATTTTTAATATAACTCCGATTGGATGAGTAAAACACACACTAATTTTCATTTTTGGGTGAACTAACCCTTTAAGCCCAGTTTAGATTTGACTCTAATGATAACAACAAATAGTAGGCACATTTTCTTAAACAATTATACATCAGCTTTGCTTTTGCAACGCACATTATAAGCGAACCACCGTAGATGAGCAAAATTAGCCGCCACTGTGTGTAAAACTACCAGCATTTGGCTGGGTGCGGCTGTTAACTTACCCCGCCTGTGAATGATTTTGCACATTCTGGTTTGTTGGCATCTCTTTGGAGGTCTGTGTTTTAGAGTGAGGTCCTTGTGCTTGAAGTTAGCTTACAGAACCTTTTTAATCGTATGTGCAGAGTAACTGTTTCACTGTACTGACTTTGTCCCCCTTAATAAGAAACCTATTAAAGTATTTACATCCGCTTGAGTCCAAGTTTTCTAGGTCATGACTAGAGGAGTAATGTTATGGCTGTTGAATTCAGCTCATCGTTATTTTTCTTGTCCAATAGTGCTCTTACGTTGACCTTACATTGACCATCAGACTAGTCTACATGGCATTATGGTATCTTAAATAGTGTATTGTTCATCATAGGTTTAGCATATGGAATTACCAAATCCTGAAATAGAAGCCTATCGATTGGCTTCCTGTACAGTCCTGCCTACACAACAATTCTAGATGAAGTCCAGTCCTATGGAGAACATTGATATCTTGTTTGGGTGGTAATATCTTTCTTTTTCTCTTTTCTCACAGCCTCCTAAGAACACTAATGGTCCCAGCAGCCAGCCGCGGGTACTCAGCCCACCAGTAAAGAGCAGCTCCTCTTCTTCCTCTTCATCATCCTCGTACATATCAGTGTCAGAGAAGCGGGCACAGAAGCGACAGCAGCAGCAACAGCAGATGGAGTCGTCCCTTTCGGACGATAAACAACAGAAGGCCAATCGAATAATCTCAGAGGCCATCGCCAAAGCACGAGAGAGGGGAGAGAAAAATATTCCACGCGTCATGAGTCCAGAAAGCTTCCCGTCGTCTTCGTTGCAGCACCGCAGTCACAGGGCCGGTTCTTCCAAGTCCAGAGGCAAGAATAAGAGTTCCAAGAAGGCTCGGATTGTGAAGTCATCCAAGTCCAAACAAAAGGCTCAAATTGGGTAAGACCGCTGTAACATTCTCCCCAAGCTGAAGGATGAGTAACATTTTGTCTCTTTGTTGTTTTGGTCATGGAGTGTGAGGGAAAAGTGTTATACAGCTGTTTCTGTCATGAGCTGTGATGACTTCTATTCATCCAAGAACATCTCTGTGACTTCACCTGCATGTTGTTAGCCATGCAGGTAGGAATGTAACGATTAACCGCGAGTCGGTTAAAAATCTATTTAAATATGTGACAATTCAAATCGGTTGAGATGCTAAACAAATCGCGATTCAGTTAGGGGTAGGAGTTTGTATGAATGTATGTCTGAGGGGAACTTACTGTCTTTCGATGGTATTTTTTCTTTTCCTCTTGATTCTGTATAATGCATATTAAAGTTCATAAGTGCAGAGCTGCTTTGTTTATAGCGGAAACCAAGGAAACGCTTTAAGTGCCACCTGCTGGCAGAGAGTGAATCTGCATCTCATTCAGCTCTGCTGTTTCGGTTTCATGCAGATATTTTTTTATGCATAATTTCACAAAACTGACGTCAAAGAGATTTATTTTATTTGTGTTATTTATTTGATTTGGGGCTTGTAGTTTTGTTATTTAAATTTACATTATATTTACATTTTGTTATTTAGCAAATGCTTTTATCCAAAGCTACTAACAAATGAGGACAATAGAAGCAATCAAAACCAACAATAATGTTACATTTCAATTTCACAAAGAAACGTACAGTATTTTACCAAGCAATAATAAAAGGACACATTTAATTTATAATTTGTCTTGAATCTCATTTTGTAAAAAAAACAATCATGAATCGAATCGAATCATGAGTTGAGTGAATCGTTAAATCCCTACATGCAGGTAATCACTGCAGGTCTTCCTGCTTACAGATGTAGTCTTAACTAGGGCTGGGCGATATAGCTAAAAAAATTATTAACGATATAATGTTTCATATCGTTCGGTATCGATAATTATTGACATTTTTTATAACCTTTTTTAAAACAAAGAGCAATAGACATTTTTTTTTATTTAACCACTGCATTTTTAAATTAACCCAATTTATTGAGACAAACAACAAATATTTTTTGTTTTAACAATCAAACACAAAAATTTAATATCTAATCTCTAATGTTTTATATGCAGATTAAATAGGTCTTAAGGAAACTTTTGTCTTGTCTCCCGAGGCCACAGGAGGGCGCAATGAGCAAAATAATGCAGCGCATTTAAATTGTCAATGCAAGGAAGTAACTCTATAAAAAACGTGCATTATGTCTAAATTAACTCATAAAAATCTAATATAATTTTGTAAATTGCATAAACAATTATGAACAAAACAGCATCATGTATTTATGCATTGCTTAATCCAAAGAGCCGAAGCGACATTCATGCAGATTGCATTTAAAAACATATAAGACGCAGTGAAAAGGAATAAACCTCCACAAATTCGTGACATGTTTTCTAAAAGTTTAAATTGTTTTAACTTTGCATGGCTACATCTCTTGAGTGAGACGCGAGTGCAGCTGTGGTATTTGGGTATTTGTCAATGCGCTGAATGTGCGTTCTGTGTGAATGACTTGGTTTCGGTTTTAACCTAATCAAGATCTTCTCCGCATCTCCGCATTATATTT